AAAAAAAAAAAAAAAAAACAATAAATTATTGTATATAGTTTTATTTTCAATGAAATAATCATTTCTGAAAAAAAAAAAAAAAAATCTTTTTAGGTATGGCATTATTGTGATTTAAATGGTGGACAAGCATCATTTTTATGTCCTAATGGTACGATATTCAGTCAAGTTGCATTAACATGCGATTGGTGGTTCAATGTAAAATGCTCATCAACATCACAATTATATGTGTTAAATGAAAGACTATATAAATACATTTTACCATTTTCTCCGAGTTTTCCAGAAGATTTTTCTGGACCTGTTGTAGATAGATACTTAACGGCTAAATTCAAGGAAATGGAAAAAAAAAATAAAAATAAGGTGATTTAAGAATACTACTATTTACGTCAATGAAATTATTATCAAATTCAATATATATGTGTATATGATTTTAGGCGTTACCATCGACAACTTTGAAACCTGAATTTATTTCCGACGAACAAAAAGATCATTAATCGTAGGTATTTGAATATGGTGCGTAAAAACAAAATAATCGACAGTAATAAATGATTAATTAAAACAGGTTCACATAATTAATAGTTTGTGTTGTAGGCGAGAAGACCTGTAGTGAATTTTTAAAGGACACATACCTAAAAAAAACCTAGAAAAAAACAAACGACAACATGATGATTTTACACAAACAATAATAATTTACATATAAAAAAAAATCAATATTGATAAATTTCAATTAATTTTCACAAAAAAATTTAAAAAAAAAAAAAAAAACCTTTGTAGCAAATATATAAATTATAAAAAGTCTGAAAAAAAAAAAAAACATTAGAATTACAATGTTTTTTACAAAACAGTAGATCTAGAAAATTTAAGATTTTTTTACTTTTTTCTGTTAAAACAGGGAAAAAACTTTTATAGAATCACTCGTAATTAATAATAATAATACTTGAAAGAGAGTATTTTAAAAATAGCATTTTATTATTATAAATTAAATAGTATGTAGGAATAGTATTTTTTCTATGTGTGCATCATCTTAAAAAAAAATTTGTAAATGTGAGATGTTTGACTTTTTTTTTTTTTTCTTCTGATAGAATTTTTTGTAATAATTTAAAATTTAATTTTAATTTGATGACAATGATTGATACAGTTGTCTGTGATATAAAAGTGCAATAAGTAATAATTATATATTGGGAAATTTGATTTAAATTTGTATTATTTTTATTTTTATTTTTTAATTAATACTTAATAAAATGTGATTAAATTTAAAAATAAACTTATTCTTATATTTATAGAAAAATAAAAATTTAAGCTAACTTTATATGACTTTAAAAAATTTATTTTAAAATCATTTATAAAATCATCCAGTAATGCATTTCGAAATCATGAAACAAAATGAAACTCTGTTTGTAGGTTAGTATGTACTTAACAAAAAGTAAAATACTTAATGTCAACTCTTTATGAGCCGACACTACATTTAAATGTTATTTTTAACCTATATTTGAAATTTTTTTTTAAAGTTCAATCATTACAAAAAATCAATGTTAATGTTTTAAGTTTTCGAGTGACATCATCACTCTCAACTTTAAACATTAATTCAACCACCTCCTCAAATAATTATTATTTATTTAACTGAGTTTTTCTCTTTGAAATTTATACATTCAAATTTTTATAATAAAATGCTATTTTTTTTTTTATTTTATATTCTCTACACAATATTTCTTTGAAATCGTAATTAATTAATGATTTTTTTTGAATTATTAGTGGCTAAATGAAATTTGTCCCGGCAATAATTTAGAACAAATTTTACAAAAAAATTTTATGGGAATCGAAAAATTAATACTTATTATTACGTTACTTTTTTTTGTTTAAAGCTATTTTGTTACGCGACAATTTATGTAGAAAGCCAATTTAACAAATTGTATGTTCATAATGAAATAATTCAAAATGTTTCATTATATTTTTCGTTGTAATAATAATAATAATAAAAAAATTACAGAATTATTCAAAAATATTATTCTAATTAACTTATTAAAAAATTATTGCTTACATACGATTGAAGTGAAATACTTTCTTAATTGAAACACTTTCATATTTTAAATTGCTGTTATTTTTATTTTTATCAAGAAAACGATTAATAAAATAAAATTTTTTTAAAATAATAATTTTTCAAACTTGAAAAATACATCTTTAACTAGAATAACTCAATTTTATAACGAGCAGTGCATGTTTCGCGTCAAAAAAAAAAAAAAAAAAAGAACGTGTAAAAAGCATAAAGAAAATTTATTTTTCAAATGTTGTCTAACATAGAATGTAAGTACAAATAAGCCAAAGTAAATTATTCGCTTAACCGCCAAGGAAAATATTTTTCTTTTCCGAAATGGCTGATACTGACTCTTTGTTTCAAACTTCGTTTTCAATTGAATCTATGAAAGTAGTTGCAGAAAGCATAGGAATTAATAATCTCCCCGACGATGCCGCCAAAGAATTATCAGATGATGTTTCATTTAAATTGAAAATGATTATTCAAGTAAATATTTGATGACAGATGATATTTTTATACAATATAATATATTTGTATTACATATATTTTATATAGATTTTATTTGCCTAGCTTTTTAACTTTATATTATTATTTTTTTTCGTAGGATTCGGTAAAATTGATGCATCACGGGAAACGGGAAAAGTTGTGCACGGGAGACGTTGACAATGCATTGAAAATGAAAAACATTGAACCAGTTTATGGGTTTTTTGTGCCCGATCATATACCTTTTAGATTTGCTTCTGGGGGAGGAAGAGAACTTCATTTCATAGAAGAAAAAGAAGTTGACTTAAACGAAATAACTAGTGCTCCTCTACCTAAATTACCGTTGGAAATAAGTTTGCGGGGTAAATAATATTTTGATTATAAACTTTCAAGTTTGACAAAAATCACCTGAAATAACACCTGAAATTTATTGATAAATTGCAATTAATAAAATATGATTCATACTAATATCTTCATACGGTATTTAAACATTCAATTTTTTTTTTTACTTTGTCACAAAATATCAATCTTACATATAACATGTAAATTACATTTATTTTAGCCCATTGGCTGGTTATAGAAGGTGTTCAACCAACAATTCCTGAAAATCCTCCTCCTATTTCTAAAGAAATGCAAAGACTCGAAAGTGTTGATCCTATATGTAAATTAAGTCACAATCAGAATGGAAAAGACATCCCTGGTAAACCTACAACTGGAAAACTGCAAAAATTAAAAAATGTGGAAACCGTTCATGTGAAGCAATTGGCTACTCACGAACTTTCGGTAGAGCAACAATTGTATTACAAAGAGATAACAGAAGCTTGTGTGGGCAAGTTTCAAGTTTACACATTACTTCTAATGTACTCTTTTACTAAAATAGTTGTCAAAATTTTTGTAAATAAACATATTTTTTAGGGTCAGATGAAGGACGAAGAGCAGAAGCACTTCAAAGTTTGGCTTGCGATCCAGGTTTACATGAGATGCTTCCTAGAATGTGTACTTTTATCACAGAAGGAGTTAAAGTTAATGTCGTTCAAAATAATTTAGCTTTGTTAATATATTTAATGAGAATGGTTAAAGCCTTATTAGACAATCAATCACTGTATTTGGAAAAATATGTAAGAAATTTTAATTTCTTGCTTGTGGTTAAAAAGTAAAATATTGATAAAAGTTAAAGTATTAGTGGAAAACAGAATTGAGCATATTAATCGATTTGAAATAAATTTTTACCATTTCATTTTCTAGTTGCATGAACTAATTCCATCTGTAGCTACATGTATAGTAAGCAAACAGCTTTGTATGAGACCTGAATTAGATAATCATTGGGCACTAAGAGATTTTGCATCCAGATTATTGGCTCAAATTTGCAATAATTTCAATACATCAACTAATAATGTGCAAAGTAGAATAACCAGGCTTTTTAGTCGTGCATTGCAAGGAGAAAAGGCTCCGCTTTCTTCTTTGTATGGAGCTATTCAAGGATTATCAGAATTGGGAACAGAGGTTGTCAAGGTTCTTATTTTGCCAAAAATAAAGTTTTTAGGAGAGCGACTGGAAGCCTGTAATGATTCTTCAACAACTAATTCAGACAAAATAGCTGCAGGACATATAAAACCATTAATTGTCGTGAGTTAATTTTTTTTTTTTAACATCCTGTAAAACTTAATTTTTGAAAATTACTGAAAAAAGATTTCAACATCAGGAGTCGACTTTAGTTAGTTTTTATTATTAACTATTCCGAATGACAAATGATATAGTAAGCAAAACATTAGGTTAAAGAAAGGGAAATAAAAAGTTTGCAAGTCAATGCAAATCATGCTTCCAAAAAAACAAAAACCATAATAAGTTTGCAATCATTTCCCTGATTCCTGCTTCATAACTTCAATACTCATGTTTTCATAAACAATATCCCTTCAAGCTTCAATAAAACTCAAACATATTGCAAAAAAAAAAAAAAGAAGCAATGCTTCACTAAATTTCCTCTATTATTTTAATTATAATATAAAAACATTTAATCTACATGTAACACATAAAATTCTTTAGAAAGTGGTTGCTCCGCTACTCAAAAGTATTAGAAATCCACCTGATTACCTGGAAGAGTTTTCAAATGATTTTGGTTACTTGGGACCAGCATTACATTCGGCAGTGGTAAAGGCAAGAATGACACCTACATCTGTAACTCAACCGAGTAATTCGATAATTACCACATCTGCAATTCGCTCTAATTCTCAACAAAGCATAGTTGCTAATCCATCAACGTCTAGGACCCTAATGGTTACTGGAAATCAAACGCGCCCTGTTATAACAGGATCGGGTCAACAACAGAAATATTTATTTTTAGCTAGACCTCCTGCACCGACTTCAGTTAGTATTACTGCTATTAAATTGAATATTTTTTTTTTTTTTTTTTTTTAATTTTAATATAGAAAATATAAATTAAAATCAATTTAACGTTGTTTTTTTTTTTTTTTTAAATATAATTAGGGAATTAAAATAGTAGCATCTTCGCATAGTACAACACCAAAGATAACAACATCAACATCGCAAGTGACCAAAGTTGTGGTCGTTTGCATGGCCAATTCTAGCAACGTAACAAATTCACCTATTGTATCCCAGGTAATTTAAGATTAATAATAATAATTATAATTTGATTACTCTTTTATTTTATATAAAAAAAAAATCTTTTTCTTTTAGGCCAGTCAACAAAATAAAACAATATTTGTCAATACACAAACTCAACAGTATTTAAAAATGGATGAAAATCAAGAAGGGTAGCAAATCATTCTAATTATAAAAATGGATATTAAAAAAACTTATTAGAAAATGTATTCGTCGTGACATTTTCTTTTTATGTCAGATGGCCCGGGGGAAAAAAAAAAAAAAAAAAATGGATTTTTGTAAAATTATATGTTATGGTGTTAAGCACTAGGACGTGAATGTATTTTAATTTATTTTAAAATGAAAAAGATAGTTACGAAACAGATAGAAAAGGGAAAACATTTAGTTAAATGTTAATGAACGAAGGTTTAAAACAATAATTTATATCTAATATACAAAATAAAAGAAATAATAACTGATAATTGTGAAACGAACAATTATATATTATTGTTTCCCGCAAGGATAAAGTTAGCAAATATTTTAACCCGACATTTTTTTACTTTCTTATTTTTTTTTTTTTTCAAAAGATAAAAATTTATAAATGAATTTTTTTATTTTACATTAATTTTTTTATTTATATATACTTATTTGTTTTTATAACTGCTAACTATATTAAAAAATGTGTAATTTCAATATTTTTCAATAATAATAATAAATAGTGAAATAAATGTGTATTTTAACTGTATTTTCTTGCCTTGAAAAAATTATACATTTTATATTATTTATATTTCCTTATTGAATTAATTTTACTACTTTTCAAAACAATTTTTAAAAAAGGCCCTGTCAAAATATATTTAAGGCTAAAGAAAAATCATGATAAAATTTTTTTTAAATATATTTTATAATTAATCAGGTAAAACATTTTTTTGTAAAAATTTATGATTTTAACTATTTTTATTCCTAAATCAAATTAAATAAAGTTTTTAATAAGTAAAATAACTTATATATATATATATATATTTTACATTAATTTATATTTTATAATATAACCTTAACACATAAATAATTGTTTGAATAATAGGAATGCATAAAATATTTACAAAATATTCTTTTTCATACTGATTTAAGCGGGCCTTACTTTCCTTGGAAATTGTTGGTTAAAAATAAAGAATATTTAAATAAATAAATAAATAAAATGATGGAGAGAACCTCAATAATTTAATACATTTATAGCATTATTTTGCTCGATAACTAATTGAAAAATAAATACTATTATTTACTTACAATTTATAATAAAATTTAATTTAACTTTTGAACATATATTTACATTTCTATGGGATTAAATATGTGTATAATTTATAGTTAACAATGATATTTGTTTAACTATCTTTTTTCATTCTATTGCTGGTCATACGATAAATTATTGAATCTCTACCTGGGTCCATTGAAGCTATAAATACTGAAAAATTGAAATTCCATTTATCATCAGTTAGCAGTTGAGATATTTGATGTGTGATAAAAAAAAAAATTCTATTATTTATTTGAGTTTTTTATATGTGGCAAATTTTTTATACGCGAAAAAAAAATTAAAAACATTAACATCTATCAGATATTGTTAGTTTGTAATCATTTTATAAAATTTTTCATATGTTAAGTATAAAAAAAAGTCCCAGTGATAAAATTAATTATGTGAATAATTATTTATTTCTTACCTGAAACTGCCAGAAGAGAAAACACCAAGGCAACTGTAAGCCATAAAATTATATTAAAAATTACTGGAAAATCTGGATTGTAAACATTACTCATTCTCATTTCATTCATCTGAAAAGAAAGTAATCAATTGTATATACACAAATTTATTTATATGCATAATTAAAAAATGAAATAATTCTATAAAATTTAAAATTTAATATTTATATATCTTACAGTTGAATCTTCAATTTTTTCATCTTCAGCACTTCTTACTCTTCTTTCTTTATGCGGATCACTTGCTATTGCAATGACAAATGCTCTATTAGAATAATAATTATTAAATTTTTTCGCCACCAATTTAAGAGTTTCATAAACCTAAAATGAAAAATTATAATTGTGATCAGGTCTTAATTTATGTAAGTTTTATTAGCATACCATATTGAAAAATGTATAATTTTTCAATTTGTTTTGCAATTTGTATCATTGCAATTATTTTAAAATCCTGTCAATGAATTCAAATTATATTATACAAATAATTACCTTTGCTTTGGCTTCTTCTAAATTGGTTACTGGATTTATGCTCTTTATATTCAACCAATATAAATTAGGAACACTACTTGGTCTTTGAAAGGTTTTTACAAAATTTTCAATATCGTTAATTTCTTGATCAAAATTATGAAATTCAGAAACTTGTTTTTCTGATGCATTCATATTCTTTTGATCTATATTTTCATCTAAATCTGTTCCAATCATTGAAATTGTACCATTTTGTAAAGGGTATCTACTCATGACTTTATTTTTCAATGTGTGCCATGTTTCGTCGATGCTTTCATCACTGCTCAAAATATATTTTTGAAATGGTATTGATTCCCCGAGGGAAGTAATTCCATCAATATATAAAACAACAGTCACTTCAGCGAAATGAAAAGGATCCGTTATTTTCATATCGTGCCAATTTAAATTCTGAAATTATGAGATTATTAGTAAATTTAAAAATGGATTTTAATAAACAATTATTATTATGCTTACTTTGTCGTTTGTAAATCCCATAACTGCCGTAAGTAAATCAGGTATCAAACTCTGATCGATTGAACCATCTCCTTGTAGTTTGATCGAAGGTGGTTTTTCAGCTATTATTAATTCCCCACCCTGAACTAAATGCATTAAAAATAAATAAGTGTTTCTCTTAAATGCATTAAAATAAAATACACAAACAAAACTTACCGGTGTAAGTTAAAAAACTTAAAAGTAAAATTTCACAGTACATTTTTTTAATTTGACTTAAATGTCACGAGACTTGTTGTGTCTGCTGCCACTTTAGAGTAAAAAAAAAAAAATAGTGAAAAAAGTCCGCGACAAATATTTTTAAACTTATTTCAATTTGATGTTCTCTAGTTCTCGGATTTTTTTTATTTTTATAAATTACCACACCGAGTAGTTTTTAGTTTTTTCTTTTTAATCAAATAAACTTAAACAATTTTTCTGGGATATCCATAACTTTGCGCTTTATCAATTTAACGTT